CCCCCCCCCACTTATTTACTTCATTTTTTTATACAAACAGGGGGGAAATAAGAGAACGTCCCTCCAAGAGGGTAGGGGTGGTCAGTGGGTGGTGCATGAAAAGGTGACATCTTACTCATTTTACTGAATCTATTGTTTAAGATAAGGATTTATGACATTAAAATATTTCAGCAATTGTCAGATTCCTTGGTACATATCCTACTCTAACACTTCCTGAAAGTGTTTTCTCTAGTTGCCTCCAAACACGATTGTGTTTCCTGTCAATTTCAGCTCCACCTCTAGCCTAGATATTGTCTCAGGGATTTGCATGGCTGGACTTCCACACTACCATGCCAGAAGTCCTGCTTCCTTATCAAAGCTTTTAGCACCTCATATCTTACTTCGCTCAGTGGTGAATTTCACCACTGAATTTTTCAGTGGTGGAAAATTCCTTCTGTTGCCTCTTTCCATTTTTAAAGAAGGCAAAGTTGGAATTTTTACTGGACATTTTTTTCCATTCAAGCACCATATATCTGTTTGGAGGAACACAATCTCAACGCAAATGAGAGCAAAACTGGAGAAATGACTAAGTAGTCCTAGCTTGTCAACCAATATATTCTAACATCAGTTTACTACAAACTAAGTGATAATGAAACTGGACAAACTATCTGTAATCATACTCCTGTATCCTGGTTATTTAGGTTCTAATACATATAAATTTTTAGTTATTTGCTCTGGTACTTGGTACAAAGGTAAGCAGCATTTTGCATATAATAGAATCACAGGGTAGCTTGGGTTGGAGGGACCTTAAAGATCATCAGGATTCAATCCCCCTGTCACAGGCAGAAACACCTTTCACTGGACCAGGTTTTCTCAGAGCCCCATCCTGGGGGGGCAGCCCCAGCCTGGCCTTGAACACTTGTGGGATGGGATATCTACAACTTCCCTGGGCAAACTCTTCCACTGCCTCACCACCCTTACTGTAAACAATTTCTTCCTAATATGTAATTTAAATCAACAGAGTTTTAAGTCATTCTACCTTGTCCTGTCACTATATGCTCTTATAAAATGTCTATCTATCTTTTTTTCTGGGTTTACTTCAGGTACTGCAAGGCTGCAGTTAGGTAATATGGAATGCTTCTCTCTTCCAGGCTGAGCAATCCGAACCTTCTCAGACTTTCCTCATAGGCGCTGCATCCCTCCAATCACCTTGGTGACCTTCTCTGGACTCAGTCCAGCAGTTCCATGTCCTCCCTGTGCTGGGACCCCAGAGCTGATGCCGGGTTCCAGGTGAGCTCTCACCAGAGCAGAGCAGAGGGGCAGAATCCCCTCCCTCCCCTGCTGCCCACGCTGCTTTGGATGCAGCCCAGGACACCTTTGGCTTTCTGGGCTGGGAGTGCCCATGGCTGGGTCATGCCCAGCCTCCCACCCACCAGAACCCCCAAGTCCTTCTCCCCCGGGCTGCTCTTTGTTCATCCCCCAGCCTGTGTCAGTACTGGGGGCTGCCCTGACCCAGTGCAACACCTTTAACCTTGTTAAATCTCCTCAGGTTCCTATGGCCTCACTTCTTGAGCTTATCCATGTCCCTCTGGATGGTATCCCATCTTTCAGGTGTGTCAAGTGAACCTCTCAACTCGGTGTTATCTAAAAATTTCTTGAGCATGCACTTGATCCCTTTATCTGTCATTAATGAAGATATTAAATAACACTGGTCCCAATATAGGTATACTGAAGTCACTTTATAACATTTGGATCCCTGTAAGTCTCAAAAGTATTTCTACCTTTTCTTTCATTTTTAGAAGAGCAATTCTTAAGAGGTATCATTAATCATTGTATGTAAAGGCACAGGAAATTATAACCTAATTTCAAATCTAGAATGCATACACAAACTACAAAATTGTATTTTATTTCTTTGAGGCAGGCAATGTTTCCATGTCAAACACAATATTTATTTATTAATCCAGCAAATCCTGGAAATTTTTCTTTTCGGTTCAGGGTCATACAAGCTCCTTCACACTTCCTGCATTTGTAATGCTGATGTTTTCCAATCACCCCAACATGCAATAAAGGAGTCAGTAGGAAATATTTTCTTCTGCTTAACTGTATGCCTTCACATTACCCTATATTATGAAATTAAAAGTTAAACAGTATCCGCTATGTACCCTTGCTACTGGAATCTTAAAATACAATGCAAATACTAAGCAAGAGCTATGTGATCAAATGATTTTACCATGCCTTACATAATTATTAATAAATGTGTATTGTACTATCATACACCATACAAAAGATTAGGGAAGGATACTGCAAAGCTCAAAGTTTCTTTTTCTCGAGAGTGGCTGAAAGGCTTAAATCCAACCGCAGAAATTAATAATGTTTTTCTGTAAAAGTAGTACAGATATTAAGAACCCTTTCTTGTAAAAGCATTTCTAGAAATGCCAGCTGAGACATCTAGAGAGCTGCCCTCTCCTCCCCACCAAGTTTTTCTTCTTTCGTCAAATGCAAGCAAAACTACTATTAAATTGAACTACAAAATTGTTTCTCTACAATGAATTGGTATTTTATTTTTTTCTTAAATTAGAAACTAAGAAGATGATACTGTAAATCCTTGCAAGATGAGAAGTTTTCATTCCTATGACTGAACCTTACTACTGACACCCACAAACACCTGCAAGCCCATCTTCATCTTGAGTGGTATAAGCACTCTTGCCCCACTGGAGCAACTCATGCACGCGTTTACATTCAAGCAAAAAAGAGGTAGTTTTTAGAAGCAGCTAGTGATTTATTTCAAGCACAACACAACAGATATGAAGACTCATTTGGAATGATTTTTCTGTGACTATTACTCACATTTATAGATAACTCCTGCATTCCTTGTAATTATGATATAAACCCTGACAAGTTCCCCTTTTCAGCTGTGCTATTCTAGACCTAAACACATGCAACTGCAGGCAGATTCTGGCACAGTTTTTGTAATGTGTACACAACAGATCTTGGGGTGCTGACCCAAAAGTCTGTAAAGCTGGAAAAAGGACAACGCTACCTATAATTTTCAGATGTAAACAGATTTCTTACCCTTATAGTATTCAAATCAACAGTGGCATTGGACTCATTGTTTTCTGCTAAATATTGAGTCTTGAAAAAGGACTAAAAAAAAAAAAAAAGAAGTGTAATTTGCAAAAAAGGAGAAAATTATCATTGAGAGACTATGACTTCTGAACACAACATATATTTCAGAAGTGATTTCTCCTGCTTCCAATACTTCTGTCCTAATAGATCCAGAAGAAAGACAGGAGACTAAGGAAATTACTCTAGATTTTTTTTTTTTTTTTTTGGCCATTGGTATCTTCAAACATTTTTAAGACAGGCTTATAATTTCACCATCAGTCTTTGAAACTGTTATTTTGTGCTCAACGTAAACTGCTAGCTAATTCTAAAAATAAATTTGTTTTTGTCTTCCTGTGGCTTTGGATCTAATTCTGCTCTTGTATCAAATTGCAACAATGTGCAAAAGGGAAAGCTGCACAGTTCACCCTTGCTTTGACAGAGTGCTAATATTTTTTAACTGAAAAAAACCCTGAATGTGTCAACTATATTTATCATGGTCTTTTGTAGTGATTTTTAAGTGATTGTGAAAACCAAAAGAATGCTATACTTTTATCTATTTCAGCCATTTAAAAAAATAATTACATCTGATTTTAAACTCTTTAGTTAAAATATACATATCTATGACTATAATCTTGCTCGCTCATGAGATAACTGTCACAGCACAAAGAACATTCAAACTTCCTTATTTATCTCTCAATGCTCAACAGAGGGAAGGAAAAAAAAAATAAAAAGAAGTCACAGTTCCGCTAACGGGACTGCCTCAATCTACACTGCTACCCTGTATGGCCTCCAAGCCTATAAAAATAGAGAGCTTTGCATGCTGAAACTACACGCATCTGTACTGGATGGCTGTGTCCATGTATTACTCCATGGATTCAACCCAAGGAATCAGGAGATCTATGCTTTTGTGGATAAAAAGAGCAAGAAAGAAACCAAATGGAAAAGAACATTTAAAAAATCCTATAAACTGTTAATGCCCTAAAGAAGAATAATTTCATTTTAAATTTACCTTAAATAATTGTTTTACAATATATCATGTAACTTGGCTAGACTCAGACTCCACTTGCCACTCTTCTAAGGGATTGTTTCATCTAACAAAAATCTTGTTTTACTTTGTCCAAGAAAACATCACATAACATCATTTCAAACTAATCCAGACAGCTACAACATAAAATGCATGCAGTACAGTGCTACCAAAGATACGAATAATGCCGTCAGAATACAAAACTAAGAGAAATTTCTCTGGTACCCAGACTTGAAGAATAGACCACTAGTGATACAATAACCACAGCTGTTTTCTTGGAAACAAAATAGGGAAGTTTGGTAAGAGAACCCGCTTTTTTAAAGATTTTTTTTTTTTTCCCCCCAGGCATAAATCTTTCACGGGCTATGCACCATTCAGACAGACAGCAGCCCTAGTTCTGTGTATATTTGGGTCTGTTTAAGACCTGCCACCACAGTAACGTCTCGCAACAAAGCAAAATCAATTTTCTTTCGCGCTTAAGTTTTAGATTTAAATTCCCGAGACGCCGGGCTAGCGGTATTTATTTTCCGAAGCACCGCAACACAGGCAGCTTTCAGGCTAATGGTGTATTTCCAGCCGCTCCTCCCTGCCGCCGCACCTTGCGACTCCCATGTGTCCCGGTGCCTCAGCTGCCCTCCCACCGCTGCTGAGCGCTCCGGCTCTCCTTTCTGCCGGTGACCCCGGCACCCCAAACCCCGCGGCGGGGACAGCAGCGTCCGCATCCCCGGCCCCGTCCGCATCCTCGTCCCCGTCCCCGACCGCGGCGGGGAAGGAGCGGCGGCTCCGGGCCGGTCCCGCTCGGGCTCCCCGGGCCGGTCCCGCTCGGGCTCCCCGGGCCGGTCCCGCTCCGGCTCCCCGGGCCGGTCCCGCTCGGGCTCCCCGCGCTGCTCACCGCTGCTGCTCGAGGTCACTCGGCTCCGCGCCGCCGCCTCCTTCCGGCGGGCAGCCCTCGGGCGGGCGGCTCTGCTGTGCCGAGCCGTGCCGGGCTGCGGCCGGAGCGGGGCCGGACCCTCCCTCAGCGCCGCCGGATTCGCCGCTTCCTCGTTTTCGCTCGCAGCCGCGGCCACTTCCTCAGCGCGGTGTGGGCGAGCGCTGCCTCCTCTCCAGCCGCCGTGCCCCCGGACCCCTCTTTCGGATGCAGCGCTGCAGCCCCCGGGGCCGCTGGCGTCGCTTCTCCCGCGGCCGAGGCACCGTCCGCCTCCTCCGGACCCCGCGGCGCCGCTGCTCGGGTCCTTCGGACCCCTGTCTTGGGCTCCTTGTAGCGCCAGTGTCGCCCCACGGGCATCTGGCTTTGGAAGATGGATGTGTCGCTGCTCAGCACCACGCTGGGGACAGAGGATGGAAGAGTGTCAGTCGCGGCTTGTCGAAAGGGAAAAAACGAACGTGTGGATATTGGTGCACATGCCAGATGCCAGTTGGTGAATTCTGGAATATTGAAGTTCTTTGGTGCTTTGTGTGTACTTCGCCGAGAAAAGGACTCTCTGGAGCAGCTAAAGGGCCTGCCACAGCATAGTGTCACCCTTCCTGCTGTATTTCACACAAAAATTTCTCCCGTAGTTTGGTCAAACATTTGTAGCAGCTCCAGGTGAGAAAGACACTCCAGTGTCCCAGACACTTAGCTTGAAGGAAAGTCTCTCTTCAAGGCCCTCTGAACACCCTTGTGTGACAGAGTTAATTCCTGTGGAAGCTGAGACCACACAGCCAAAAAGCGCCGCTATCCTTCAACCACGACTGCCCAGGGACAAACCACTCCTGGTGCAGGTCACACAGGACTGGGTGGCACGAGGGACCTTGGGTTAGGCCAGAGTGGGCAGGTCTCCTTCAGCAGTGACTGTGCTGCATGACACCATGTGGTGTCCCGTGACGGGCAGTCCTTGCAACAGGAAAAATCCACTTCCTTCTTCCCCATAATAAATTGGTGTTAGCACTATTGTGGGGTACAAGCATTATTTTCAGTCAAAACACTGTCTCTCTTTCCTTATTGCAAAATAGACTGTATACCCACCTGATATTCAATAGAGCTGCCAAAGTACAAATCTCTCATATTTCATGCCATTTAAAAAGGTCTCTGATTTTGGTTTATTTCAGTGAGACTTTGGCAATTGCTGTAATGGCAGTGCATTTTTTTATTGGCACTGTCTGCATGTTAAAAAAGAGAATAACTTAGAAAATTCTTAGACCTGTTTTCAAGGTATTCTTTTCCTATCAACATCCAAGTGTGAGCAGATCTGCAGGAAAAGCTTTTGGAAAGTCATTATTGGATTAAGAACTGTTTTTTAAGGGAAAGTCTTACTTTAAATTGGTGAAAAAAAATCACCACTACTGCATAAGCAATTGTACTGGACCTTGCTGGGAAGGAATTAGCTTTCATTGTAGCAGCCAATATGGCACTGTATCTTTGATTTTGGCTAAAAGAGTATTGATACCACACTAATAATTTGTCTGTCCCTGTACACTACTTGCACAATGTCAAGGTTTTCTCCACTTTTCACTTTACCCCTGTCCCCAGTGTGTAAGCTCGAGGTGCACAAGAAGTTGGGAAGGGACAGAGCTGGGACAGTTGCCTGCAAGTGAACAAAGCCCTTATCATGATTAGCACTCAAAACTGGGTATAGATGAGGGAGGGTGGAAGGATGTGGGCTTCTTCCAAGGCAGTCACCAATCTGGTATTTGCTGGTTGTTTCTGTGCTTGTGGGAGGTGGTGGGTGACCAGCTCTGCATCATTTGGTGTGGTTGTGATCTTTTTGTTTGCCCCTTCACCTATTAAATTGTGTTTATCTTGACACATGGCTTTTTTGATCTCCCTTCTCTGTAGTCAGTCCTGCTGGGCAGGGGGAACTGAGCATTTGGCTGTGTGGGTGCTTGGCTGATGGCCCAGGTTAGCTTATGGCACCAGTGGAGGGGAAATCCAGTAAGTGAAGCAAAGAACTTTTAGGCTGTTCACAGTTTATTTTTTCTTTCATTTCATATGAGATTTAATACAAATAGTTGAGTTCTGTGATACTGATTTTTGGTAAGGTGCTCACAACAGTGGGGTATCTTATTTAATGTGCTACATGTAATGTTTTATATTAGTATATCCTAACATATATATTATCATTCTGCAGCTTTCCTGTAATGTGTGGCCAGTTTTATTAAAGGCCAGCAACCAATAAAGTAAAGTAATTCCTCCTTTTTTCTGGAAATATTTAATAAGTATAAATCTGGATTTTTTTTCAAAAGATTCAGTATATTTGTGGATTTTCCTACCCAACATGAATATATACAGTAGAAATTAATATTTTTTATATGATGTCCAAATAGTTGTGCAGTATAATAACTGCAACATTTAACTCCAAACTTTTTGGGAGTGTCTGAGAGAGTTTCAATGTTTTCACTATGGCAATATATTTTGAAAGACCTCTGCTTTCAGTGGTCATGATTGTTTGCTTAAATGATTTATCAGAATGTTCTCAAACCTCATTTCTTTACTATACTGCTCCTAGGATCAGTAAAATTTATAAGAACAAATTATACAATTGAACTTCTCCAAAATTTGCAAATTTGAATTGTGTCTATTCTGTTGCCTTCCCACTACATCTGTTGCCTTCTGTTTTCATTGTTACAGGGACTGGGTGGTTTGGGGAAAATACAGGTTGGTATGTTGGAATAAGACTTTTTTCAGTGAAGCTACCATACTGAGGCATTATTTTTTTATTTCATTCTCCAAGATGGAGTTTTTAGGTTGGTTTCTGTCCTACAAGTGTAGACAACTTTTGCAGATGCTGTTTGCCCTGCGAGAATTCTGCTCAAGCACAAGGAGTAGTACTGTGTCTTACCCTCTAGGTTGAAAGTGGGCATTTTCTGAAGTACCATCTGCATTTCTGTAGTAGGGAACATCTAAGTTAAACTTTGTTGTCTGATTAAATGTGAAATTCCCTAAAATGTGTAGCAACAAGAAATACAATGTCACTGACAGACAATTTTATTTGAGGTTTAAATTCTCAACAGGTGACCATACCTACAGCTAAATATAAAGAGTCTCTATGAAAGAAGAAATTACTGTGAGTAAGATGGGACTGTACATCTCTACAAAAAGAATGCAGAAGTGATGCATTTTGCTTAAGGCATATAAAATTTCTGCACAGATCATTGAATTCAGCCATGGTTTGAGCAAAAAATATGTGCTATTTGGGAGTTATTTATTATCTACTGCATTTTAATTTTGATGGAAGCAGTGGTTCCATGTTAGCACAATAGCACTAAACAACATTTAGAGAAAATCAAGAATCAATAGCCTGAAAGGAATGTTGTGGCACAAAACCAAATCTCATGGAATGGTTTGGATTGGAAATTACCTTAAAGATCACTTCAACCCTCTGCCACAGGCAGAGCCACCTTTTACTACAATGTCCTGCATTAGAGTCAAAAAAACTAAACTGGGTCATGAGCTTCAAAAAGTAAGGACCATAATCTCAAATATTTTGGCCGCCTTCTGTTGTCCAAGGAGTTGTAAATATCCCTATTTTATGTAAGGGCCAGGTCTGAAATATTTAATAGATTTTAAATACCAGGTATATGTGTTCTGTACAATTTTCACTTATTTATAGATCAATTTAATTTTCACTTATTTATAGATCAATTTAAGTGGAAAACATTAGTGGCAATCCCTAGGAGAAACTCAGAACACATAAACAGAAATAAACTGGGGGAGATGTCCAACAGATTAATTGAATTGCCTGCTCATTTTGAGAATCTATAAATTATGACAGTTTTGTTTACATACTAATTTACTGCTTTGACCAGAAATGTCAGTAGCTATATGAATGTCTTTGCTATATGAAATGAAGAGTAAAGTGTTGATAGTTTTGCTTACCAGTGAATAAGAGTAGTTGTAGGATATAATTTTTACACATTAGAGACTGTGATATGAGGAGGTATGATGTAAAAATTTAATATTTTATGTGGGGCAATGCCAGATAAGATTGTAGATTAGTTGAGAAAAGATCTGTTTTGAGCCTGGATGGTTTTACAAAATACGTATTTATATTGAAACAAAGATTTAGGCCAGTCTGGTCTTTATGACTTCTTCTGCTGCTTGCCCATGACTAGTTACTGGTTCTAGCTTTTGTTTTTTATGGAAATTATGTGTCTAAATGAATTTAAATGAATATTAAAAATGATGCATTGCATGAAAACATTGGCTGAAAGAAGGAAAAGCATATACAATAGCAAGTTATGATTGGACAAAAAACAGGGCTTTTTTAAAAGTAAATATTTCTGTAAGATTTATACCTAATTGTAGCACAGAAAATAACTGTGGGCAACAAGGAGATGATAAACTGATTTTTAAGAGGATTTGAGCAAAATTCTTAAGAAGAATTTATTAGCATTAACAATCTCTGCTTTGAATGAAAACCACCATGAAGGTGAAAAAAAAAATGAGGGGAGATACTTAATCATCTTTTAACTGTCAGAGACTAAGTGGCTATGGGAGGATTCTGTTTCAGCACCATTTCCAAGGCACTTCAGTCTGCAAAATGCTGGCTATGTCCATAGCCTCTGACAACCATCTTGGACTGTCACAGTTAGCAGAAATAACAGAGTTAGGAGCCCATATGCATTGGCAATTCAGCATCTCCAATTTCATTCTAAGGCTATTATACATTGATATGGATAATAAGAACAGCTGAATTTATACTGAATCTAGGACATAAGTATATAGAGACAAATAAGTGAAATTTTCAGGTCCTTAAGAGATACATAAATTAAAATAGTAAAAAATATTCCCATTGTAAGCCTACAAGAGACACAGAAAACTCCTGATTTTTTAGTTTCACCTGAGACATGGCTGGACTAAGTATAACCTTTAAATAGTACAAATTACTTCAATAGTTATATATATATATATGCATACTTAAAAATAGAAGCCCATTCAGTATAAACCCACTTATGGGACTTTACTATTTCTCCTGTCATGCCTTTGTCAAAGATCCCCTCGCTAATCTCAGGG